CTGTCTGGGGTCAGAGACATCTGGTCTGGTGGTCTCCACCCTGATCCTCTTACCAGGCGAGGACAGCCTGCCGGGGGCTTCACTGTGTTTATCAGGGTGATGGGAAGTGACTTGTCTGAGGCCTCACTGGAGGGCTCCGTGGGTGTGCCTGGGGAGAGTGCAGGCGAAACTGGAGTTTTTAAGATGGAGTTGCTTAGGCTCAGGCCTCAGGCCATCCTCACAGGCCTAAGCAACTCTGCATGACCCTGTCTCTAAATAAAATATAACACGGGCTGGGGATGTGGCTCAGTGGTTAACTGCCCTGGGCTCAATCCCTGGTCCATGTCCCCCCAGTAAAATAGTAAAGAAGAGGACCCTGAGCCCAGAATGGCCCCTGGAGAATACACATTAAGTCAGCACCTTCTGTTTGCAGGGACTGAGCTCTGAAGGACTGCAGGAAGGACACAAGGACGTGTGCTGTGGACGGGCCTCCTTCCCCTCTGGGGACAGCGAGCCTGGAAGCCAAACTCAATGGATCCTCTTCTCCCAGGAGAACGGTGCGCGTCACATTGGAGTCTGCAGTCAGTTAAGACCGTCTCCTGCCGGAGGGACAGAGGCACCGCAGCCACTGGCTTTGGTAACCATTTAAACAGCCAGAGTGAGCTCTGGGCCACATCAAGCTGTCCCCGTGGGCGGGCTGGCCGGGGTGGACCAGGGTCCCCATGCGCCGTGGAACACACATCTGTGATGACTGCACTGTGACCTTCCAGGCCCAGACACCATGAGCTTTGGCTGCAACAGCCACCTTCTGGGAACCGAGAAGGGAAGGTTCCAGACCTCCTCTTAAGTCACAAGGAGGGCCCCTCACCCCGCAGCGCCACCCAGCCAGCAGATGCCAGTCCCCCTTCGCCCTCTCATACGGTGCTGCAGCCACCTGGTTTGCAGGCAGTTCCCTGAGATGATGACACACATGGGAGAAGGTCGTGAAGGGACAATAAGATTCTCCCCTCGCCCACCTCCGCCCCCTTCCTTCCCCTTGCTCTGACCCGGATCCCAGACCGATGTTTGGTGGAGGGCGAGGAGCAGCAGCCGAGCCCTTGGCCTCCTTATTCCTTCTCTACTGCGAGCATTGTGTCCAGCGGCCTTGGCACTGGCCATCTTAATGGCTGCGTCAATTGGAGATGGTCGGTCAGGAAACTTCTCTGCAGCTGCTGTGCACTGAGGACTCACTCGTGCATTTAAGAGCTATTTATTGAACTTCTTAGAGGCACAGGGAAATGCCGCGGGAAGGGAGGATTTGTTTTTATAACACGTCAGCAAAGGAAAAAAGGAGACCCGTGGGGTGAAATCTAGATCTCTGTGGGATCTGGGGTGCGGGGCGAGTGGGGTTTCCTGCTGCCCTCTCTCTTTTTTTGAAAGGTATATTTGAAATGTCTCTTAATAAAAAATTCAAAATTCAGAATACGCTCCACTGTCATGTCTATCTAAAAACAACAGATAAAAAATTAAGAATAGAGGATGGGGTAGGAGACCTAGCCGGGGGGCCAGGAAATCAGGGGCGGCTTCCTGGACAAGGTGACATCTGAGCTGAGGCCTGCAGAGTGCCTAGGCAGAGAGGGACTGGCCAGGGCAGGGAGCTGGTGGAGAGGGCACAGCCGCAGGGACACCTCGACGCAGAGGCCCGGCTGGCTTGAGGGCGGTGAGTCCACAGGGAGCCACGGCCAGCTTGGCAGGGCCGGAGCAGCCACACTCCGAACCATGGAAGAGTCCGGCGTCCCCCTGCGTGCCGGGCAGCAGGGGACGCAGGACCTGAGGACACTCCCTCTAGCTGCGGGGCAGGACCGGTTGTGGGGCTGTGGGTGAGAGACTGTCGCGCCTCTGGGGCACCCCTTTCAGACAGTGTCCCCAGGTCTTATCCCTGGTGATATCTCTGTGCACCCTGATTTTCAGACCTTCTTGTCCCTCCTGGCACAGGCCCTCCAGGAAGCAGGGGTCAGTTCTACTCCTCTCTGCCACCCCAGTGTCTCGCACACAGTAGTCACCAAATAAATGCTTGGTGAATGAGCATATACTGAGCGCTCACCAAGCGGCACATTCATTACTTCCTGTGCCAGGGCTACGGGTGTGTGACTGTCATCTCTGCTCTCCGGGTCCTCCAGAAGTGAGCGCCAAGGTCAGGTCTTCTGGGGAGACCCCTGTGGAGGAAAGGAGGGGAGCCAGAGAAGAAGGGACTTCCCCAGACGGAGGCAGGTCAGCAACCCGCACAGGGGACCGGGGTTAGGGGAGATGAAGGGGGTTTGGTAGGAGGGGCTCAGACCTTCGTGTAGCCTAAGGAAGTGCTGACCAGACCAGGAGCCCCCTTGTGCTCAGTCGCTGGCTGGGAGCAGCCTGTTCCTGTAGGAATGGGAGAGGAGATCTAGAGGGCAGCAGCTAGAACTGCTGGCTAACAATGTGCACAATCACCATTTATAGCTCTGTGAATTAAGGCCCAGAGAGGTAAGGCCACTTGTCCAAAGTCACACAGCTGGGAAGGAGCGAAGTCCCTTTGTTTTTGAGGCTGTGTTTGTGACTCCAGCTTGACAACAGCATTGTGACGGTGGAATTATGTCCCCAATTATGGGATTAGGTCAATGCAGATGTAATGAGTTCAGATGAGGTCACACTGGAGTAGGCTGGGCCACTGACCCATGTCCCTGGTGCCCTTATGAAGAGGGGAATTTGGACCCAGAAACAAATGCATACGAGCAGAACACCAGGTGGACACTAAAGCAGAGCCTGGGCTGCAGCACCTGCAAACCCAGGGACGCCGAGCGCCACCAGAGCCAGGAGAGACTCAGGAGAGCGTCTCCCTTACGGCTTGGAAGGAACGGACCCTCGGACGCCTTGACCTCAGACTTCCAGTTACAGTCCAAACCCAAGCCGATACCTTCCTCTTCTTGGGCCCCAGTAGGTGGCATTGTCACAGCAGCCATAGGCAGTTCTGACAGTGTGACATCCTTGAGCAAAGAAGGCTGAGGTCTGGGGCTGAGAAGCAGCTCTGGGCTGTAGGAGAGCCGGGGGCCTTGGCCCTGGATCCAGGGCCTGCTCTGCCCGGCACAGGTGCACATGGAGTCCAGGCGTTTCCAAAGGTGTCGGTGACAGGATCCCAGCCAGGAGACTGAGGCCCAAGGGATGGGAGTGACCAGCTTGAGGGTGGCATGGCCATCGGTGAACCCCAGATGGGCCCACGTCCCGTCTCTCGGGCCAGCTGCGCCCCTGGCCGACCTGGGCAAACACACGGGCAATCCCTGGCCCTCCGGAGGCTAGTGGCCGGCCAGCCTGGGAGGAGGGCTGCTGAGGCCCCTCTCCTGCACTTACCCTCAGCTCTGTCCACTGAGGCCCTGGCTTCTGAGCCGTCCTTCCCACCAGGAGGCTGCCGGTGCCCATCTGCCAGGCAGGCTGCTCTTCCGTCTGGAGGCTCCGGGAAACTAGCCTGTCCTCCAGCCGCCTCGGACCCCCCTCAGCCACCCGCCCACCCCAGCCACCTGGCCACTGGCCCCAAAGGAAGGGGAGTTTGCTGGAAGATGGCCAAGTGTGAACCCAAAGGCGTCTTTCCGGAGCATCCAGAGGACTGTGGGCAAAGGAGAGCCAGGGTTTGCCTCCCAGCCGGTGGCACCCACTTGGCCATCTCTGCAGCAGAGGGGCACCCAGCAGGTGTCAGGCCACAGCAGGGAGGCGCGGGCAGAGCGTGGACTGAGGCACCGCTCTCGGGAGACCTGGTTCGGGGCTCAAGTCAGCCACGACTCACTTTGTGACCTCAGACAGGTTGCTTCACCTCTCTGGGCCTCCTTTGTGTCAACAGTTAAGTGGAGGTAATTTTACCCCCTCTGCAAGATGCCTGGGAGATAGAGCAGGCACGGGGCAGGGGCCAGCGCAGCCGGCACTGGGCAGACTCCACCACTGGCTCTGTGCTATGGAAGGCGCTGGGGGTTGGGCCGTAAGGTGGTGCCCCTGTCCTTGAGGAGCAAACAGGTGAAGACAAGTGTGACTCAGCCATTACTGACCCACACCAGAAGAGGGCCCTACAGGCTGGTGGTGGGAAGAGGACGGAGAGGAGAAAACCCCGGAAGGCTTCCTGGTGGAGGGGGCAGCCCCAGGCAGCTCAGCTAACTTCTCTAAGAATCTGGGCAATTGTTCCTCCCTCCCTCCCTCCCTCCCTTCCTCCCTCCCTTCCTTCCTTTTGCATTTCTGGGGATTGAACGGGGCCTTGCTACCCAAGTTCTCTACCGCTGAGTTACACCCCAGCCCTTTTTTTTTTTTTAAATTTTTAATATTTATTTTTTAGTTCTCGGCGGACACAACATCTTTGTTGGTATGTGGTGCTGAGGATCGAACCCGGGCCGCACGCATGCTAGGCAAG